TGTTCCACAACTGTCGCTGCAGGGATCCCGGGACTAGGGGCTGATTTCTCTCTTCCGGGGCCTCTGCGGTGCTGTTAGGATTCAGATCTAAAAGCCCCGCCCGGTCTCCTGTGACTGGATGGCGGGGTGGTGGATCTCCTGGAGAGATTGCCTCATTAAAAGCTTCCTACCCGGGCTGGGAGCCAAGGGACAGTGATGGTGTCCCCAGAACCTGGACTCACTTCTGGTTTCCCACTCCTGTTTCCTTGGAGACCATAAGATGCTGTAACTTATTTAATTCACGGGACTCCTGCTTTCGCTCCCAGGCCCCTGGAAGCAGACCCTTGACTTTAGGGGGCGCTGTCTTCCCGACGGCTGGAAAGTGGGTAATTTCACTTGTTCAGTAAACACCCTTACATCCTATAAGAGAGTGGAGGGGGATGGGGTGCATTCTAAATTAAGCCCTGGGGCTGGCCTTGGTTCCTGTGGGCTCTCCCCGAGCCCCTCCTACCGCCACAGGGTGTCACTGGACTTAATTTTCCTGTCTGTGAAATGCTCTCACTCGCCCGTCAGGAGATTTGATGGCTTGGGAGGTCAGCACTTCTGAAGCAGTGATGGTGGTGTCAAGGTGGAACAGAGGATGGGCAGGGTGAGAAACCTGGGTGTGTGGGGGGGTGTCACTGCCGTATGGGTGCCTTGACAGCCCTGGGCCTGCCTGCCTCCCCCAGTAGCTCTGGACCCTCAAAGTGCCACCTTTCTAACAGGAAGGGGCCTCCCAGTACCACCGGGATGTCAGGGCAGAGCCCCAGCGGCTCTTCCTCCTCAGGCAGGGAACCCCGCCCCTCCGGGTGCAGGACAGCTCTGGTCTGAGGAGGACACAGCCCTGACCCACTGCGACAGGAGAGACCCAGGTCATGCCTCAGAGGACTCCTAGACTGAGCAGAGACACGGCTCCTTCCACAAAGGAAGAGGCAGCCTTGACCCCGGAAGCCACCAGTCTAATGGCGGAGGAACAGAGCTTCCCAGGCTGATAGCAGAGGCACAGCTCTGGCCTGGGTAAGTCCTGGAACACGGAGCTTCTAATCTGCTGCTGCAGGTACAGTCCTTGCCCCTAGGTGTCCCTAGGCAGAGGAACAGTCCTGGGAGAGCAGTCACAGGTCTAATGAAGTTAGTGACACATATTAAAACACATGGATGGCAGCCCGGCATGGTGATGCATGCCTGTGATCCCAGCACTCGGGAGGCCCTGGGGATCGATACGAGTTCAAGGCCAGCCTGGCTCCACAGTGAGTTCCTACATAGTGAGACCCTGGCTCAATAAACCAAACCAGGGCCAGGGATTTAGCTCGGTTGTTCCGCTGTCTGCCTCGCAAGCGCAAGGTCCTGAGTTCGATTCCCAGTACCAAAAAAAATTTTTTTTTAAAGGCAATAAACCAAACCAAACCAAAGAACCCACAAAACCCCAGAAAACACAGAGATGTCACCCAAACCCACGAAGCTGAGCCACTGGTGAGCCCCAAAAGAGCTGTGTGACTTGGACAAGGTCTCTTCATCCCCACAGCCTCAGTCTCTAGTGAAACGCCGGCAGCGTGAGAAGGGAGGTGAGGCTGTGTGTGCAGCAATGGGACTCTGGGACTCAAGGCTGCCGCTGCTGGGGCAGGGGAAAGGGAGGGAGTGGGGCCGGCCGGGTGTGCTGGGGTCAGGAGTCCCCGGAAGCACTTGTGTCTGAGAGTGCAGGGCAGGCGCAGGTGGCCACAGCCTCGGTCCTCAGCAGGGTGATCGATGGGGGGCCGGACAGGCCCAGGCGGCCCGGAGAGGCCCATTGTCTCGGCAAATGAGCTTTGGCTTCCCTGCAGAGCGTCCCCATCTGCTTTCATTGTTCCAACAGCAGCCTCGGGACCCCACCCCCTAAGACCTCCCACCTCAGAAAACCAGGGCTGGGGTGTGGGCGGCCCCCTGGCCCACGATCCCGCTTCCTCACACCTCCTGCTGGGTCACAGGTCCCTGGAAGCCCCCTCTCCCAAGCAACTCACGTGTGGTGGTCACTGGGGCAACCTCCAACCAGTACCCAGAAACTTCACTATCTTGATGTCCAGACAATGTAACATCGTTTGGCAGTGGGTCAGATCCATCACTTAATCTTCACGTGACCAAATGCCTGCTGTCGGGTTCTGGCAGAGGCCAGTGTGGAGGAGAAAGACACTTGGAACCAGCCAAGCCAGGGTGTGCAAGGGCCTCCAGCACTTAACAGCTGTGTGTCCTTGGGCATGTTAATTAACCTCTCTGGGCTCCAGTTCCATGTGGGAGCAATGAATATCTTTACTGGAGCATCATTTATTAGCCTTCTTGTATTCTAAACCTAGAGCTGTATATTCATTGCTTAATTTAATACTTTCCAGATAATAATAGCAACAATGGCTACATAGAGATATCAGGACAAAAAGGTGAGGAGCTCGGGCCAGGGATTTAGCTCAGTGGTTCCATCGCCTGCCTCGCAAGCACAAGGTCCCGAGTTTGAGCCCCAATACCAAAAAAAAATGTGAGGAGCTTAAAAAAAAGTGAGGGACTAATCCAAATCACACAGCAGAACAAGTGGTAGAGCTGGGACTTGAACCCACAGCCAATGATCTCCTCTGACTTTGACCACTGCTTGTGCTACCATTCAGTAACCCATCCCAGAGCCTGGCACTGACAGAAGAACCAAAGTCCATCCCTCATCCCATCAAGAATGTGTGCCAGGTGGCCAATACCAGAGCACGGTGTGGGGGTGCAGGGATCTGGGTTTCGGGCTGGGGTGGTAAGCATTCAGTCACCTTCTCCGGAGGACCTGCTGCCCCCGGGGCCATAGCAGCCCTGCCCACCCCAGCAAGCCGGGAGGCTGGAGTGTGCATGCCTGCTCTGTCACACTCCTCGCCCACACACAGGCAGGACTGCGCCAGCTCTGCCTGGCCTGGCCAGCGTCACCCAGTGGAAGCTAGGGGAAAGTTGGGGCCTGCAACTTTCCATTCATTCCTGTCCCTGGACCAAGGGTGCCACTTAAGATAAGTGTGTGCAGAGCACCTAGTATGTGCCAGGCACTGAGACCCCAGGGGAAGGAGACCCAGCCTCCACTGCCTATGGAAGAGCAGCAGCTCCCAAAGATCAGTCATGGGACCACTGCGAGAAGATCAAGGGCGGGCGAGCAGGTGGCTTCCCATGGGAGGGACCTGCAGGAAAGGGAGGCTCAGCTGGAGCAGAGTCGGGGGATGCATCAGACGGAGGGCAGAGCCCTAGAAAGGCCCAGACCAAGTCAGGGTGGGAGATGCAGAGGATCTGCCCTGCATCCTTGCAGAACTGTAGGATGCAGATGGGGGTGGGAGGGCAGAGGGAAGGCAGGGCAGCCTCGGCCTGCAGGGGTCTCTAGTTAATTCAGAGCCCACAGGGAGGCACTGAGGGGCTGGACTAAAGGCAGAGGAGCATTATTTTCATGCTGGTGCAGTGAGGACTGTGCAATCCTGGGGCTGGAGGAACTGCTTCGGGGGTGGCTGTGTGGCCGAGGATCAGGGGGCAGCGACGGCGGGAAGGGCCTGGGTGGGGCATGTGTGGCGAGGTCCGCAGCTGCACTCCTGCCTCTAAAAAGAAACGCTCCAGTTGCCAGCCCCGGCTGCAGCTGAAACAAAAACTCAGCTGCCGGGGGCAGCCTGGCACCTGCCGGCTTCAAGGTTTCGCTCCTCCTGGGCGGCTCTCATTGGTCCGCTTACCCCACATCATTGCCAGCCTCCCGGGTGTCCTGATGACACCGACGAGGGTCAGGACGTTTGAGCAGGTCCAGGATGGGCAGACAACGGCCCAGGGGGAACGGAAGTGCTTGTGAGAGAGCATCTTCAGGAAGGTTCAGCATCAATCAGTGATTTAGGGACCCGTGGCCTCCTGAGGGAGAGCCAGCTGCAGCAACACGGACCTGCCACGCTGACCCCACCGGGCAAGCAGAGAACCTGCTCCGCCTGGTTTTAAAACTGTGGTTTTGGGATGAGCGAAGAGGAAGGGGGAGAGAAGGCCTGGGAGAGGGTGGCTGTTGGTAGGGGTGGCAGGAGGAGGGGACAGGCAGTGTGATGGGGAAGGGGCCAAGGCAGGTCGTTCCGAGGGTCTCAGGCTGGAATTTGGGGCGGTCCCCGTGGAGTCCCATCTCCGCCCCGCCCAAGGACACAGACTACCCTCCCCCACCGGCGCCCAAGTCCCTATAGGTCGGTCCTGTTGTCCCCGTTTTATGACGGGGACACTGAGGCTCAGAGAGATGCATTCCTTTGTCCAAGATCACTCCCAGAGGCCTTGCGTGCCGGGCCCGCGAAGGCCCGGGGAGCCCCCTCGGAGCTCGGCCAGGGAGTCTTGGCGGGAAACCCGGGTGCCCTCTGGTCTCACACCTGGCTTCGCAAAGGCGCTGGAGTCTCCGGTTCGCCGAGAGAAGCCGGCGGTGGGGAGGCAGCCCGAGCCCGTGCCGTCGGGTTCCCGGGGTGGGAGGATGCGGGGCGCACTCGGCTCTCCCCAAACACACCGGGTCCCCTGGGCGGCCTCGAAGAAGGCCAGGTGCGTTCCCGCCAGCGCGGCCCGGAGCTCAGGGAGCCTTCGAGCCTTTTCCCAACCTCGCAGTCTGGGGTCCTCGGCCTGATACCACCCAGAGATTGAGAGACAAAGAGATACAGGGTCCCAAAGGGAGGAGGCTGTCCCGAGGGAGAGAGGGGGCGAGATCGGGTCGGGAGAGGGCGGCCAGGGCGCGGGAGGACGAGGGTTGGAGCGTGGAAAGTGGGCGTCCAGGGGAGGGACCCAAAGCGGCCGGGACCAGGGCCAGAAGGCGAGGGCACACAGGGCGAGAAGCAGCGACGGCAGACGGACGGACGCACGGACGGACGGGTCGGGTCGGAGGACGGGAGGAGCGCGCCGCGCTCCACCCGCTCCGCCCCGCGCCCCAGGTAGCCCACCTTTGTCCGGGGCGCAGCAGGTGAGCGCGAAGGCGGGGCCGGGGGCCGGCCGAGGCCGAGCCTTACCTGTCCGGCCGGCAGGGAGGGGGCCGAGGGGCGCCGGGCCGAGGGCAGCCGAAGCCCGAGCGGCGGAGCGGCGGAGCGAGTCGCCGGCCACGGAGAGGCGCCGGGCTGCAGGGCTGGGAGGAAGGGGGCGGGCACGGGGAGGGGCGGAGGCGGGGCAGAGGAGGGGCGCCGGGCCGTGGGCTCACTGCCCCCGCCGAGGGGCAGCTCCGGCCGGGCCGGGCCTCGCGCGCTCCCAGGCCGCGCGCCCTCGCCAGCTGCGCTCGGCTTTCGGGGCCGGTTCCCCAGAGGCTCAGCCGCCGCCGCTGCCGCGAGGGCGCGGGACAGACAAAGGAGGCAGACAAAGGCGGGCGCAGCCCCGCGGCCTGTGGGCACCGGGCAAGGCGGCCCCTGCTCCCGTTGCGGTGCGTACGAGCCGCGTCGGCGGGGCCCGGGAGCGCGGGACGGGCGGGGCGCGCGGGGTGCACATCTGGAGCGGGGCGGGAGCGCGCGACAAAGGGCCGCGGCGGGGGGCCCCTGGCGGACCCCAACAATGGATCGAGGCTGCGCGCTCAGACGGGGCCTGAGCCGGGCGGGGGCTGGCTGGCCCCCCAAAGGATTATTCCGCCTAGGCTGTCAAATGGGATGGAAGAAATGCCCGGGGCGGGGAGCGGCCGGGCTTTTGTAGCCTCGGAAAGTGCGCCGAGTGGGGGTGACTCTCCGAGAAATCGCTCTCGGGTGTGGGTGTACGGGAGTCTCCAAAGCGCCACTGCCTCACCTGGCCGCCGACAGCGCACCTGCGGCAGCCCCTCCCTGCCCCCACTGGGAAGGGAGAAAGACAACAACCCCAACACACGCTCGCGCACGCACACGCACGCACACACACAAACACACACACACGCACACACACGCGCGCGCCTGCTGCCACGCCCCGTCCAAAGCCGGCCCGGAGCTCAGCCCCGCGCAGTCTCCACAAAGCCAGCGCTGTGGGGCAGGCTCATCCATCACCACGCGGGGCGCTGCGTCCTGACGACCCCGGGAGTCCAGGAATGCTGAGTTATGGGTCCCGCGGCCCCCATAACTCACGAGCGGGTCAGCGGGGCCACCGGCACCGCCGAGATCAAAGCGCAGTGGGGCGGGACGCCGGCACGTGGGAGGCCGCGGTCGTGCCTGGCTCCCAGAGCTCCCCGGGCAGCTTCCACTGCGAGTAGTTTTTCTTTCTGGGGCACATGGCTCAGAGGATGGAGAGCACTGCCCTGCAGTCAGGCGAATGGCCCGAATTGCCCCTCTGGTGCCGTCCATCCTGTGTGGCCTTGACAAGTTGCTTGACCTCTCTGAGCTGACCATCATCCCACACCCCCAGGCTCACAGCATTAAAGGCAGTGGCCTGGGTCAGAGATGATGGGAGCGCTCCAGAGAAATTAGCTGCTGTTATGGTAAGATTAGCATGGTGGGCACCAGCCTGGTGTGGTGAAGACTGCTGGTTATGTACTGGAAAGTTCAAATCTCTTTCCATGAATCCCCACTGAACACCTACTATGTGCTGCCGGAGCAAAAAGCACGGACTCCTGCTCTAGGGAGCTTAAGTTCTAGTGAAGGAGACAGAAGATAGCAGGTTAACCAATTTAAGGCTGGCAGTGATTAATGCTATGCAGAAAAATAAAGCACATTCAGGACAGATAGCATCCAGGGGAAGAGATCCGGCTTTGTGTGAGAACTTGAGGATGGGCTCTTTCGTGGGACAGAGTTTTGTGGCTGTTTTAATGGTATTGACTGTGGGGAGAATGATGCAGTTAAAGGGAAGAGCCAGTGCAAAGGTCCTGAGGCAGGAGAGTGCTTGGTGTGTGAGGCTGTAACAGCGCACGACAGGAGAGGAGTAGGCATAGGAGCTCAAAGCTCCTTTGGCTGCAGAGGGCATGGTAAGGGCTTTGGGTTCTTGGTCAGGACTGGGAGCCACTGGAAGGCTGTGGGCAGAGCAGAGATGGAACTAGGGTTTGAACAGATTCCCTCTGATTCCTAAGCTGTAGAATAGGTAGTGGTGGAGCTGAGACAACAGAAAAATCAGGGAGGGCCAGGGATTTACCTCAGTGGTTCCGTTGCTCGCCTTGCAAGCTCAAGGACCCGAGTTCTATCCCCGGTACCAAAACAAACAAACAGACAAACAAAAAATCAGAGAGACTGCTTAGGGACTGTGGCAGGAAAAGGTGACTGTGGGCTAGGCCTGGGAGGGGGAGTCCTGGTCATCTCCCCATTGTGGGACTGAATGCCTGACACCCACAGCTTACAGGAGGACAGGAGTATTTTGGCTCTCGATTTCAGGCCATTGTCAGCTGGCTCCAGGGCAGAAGTGGTAGGAATGGAAGGGCCCGGCAGAGGGAGGACCACGGAGGGTGGACAGTAGCTCGTTCCAGGCAGCAGGAAGTGAAGGGAGGAGCCAGGAGGGAGACAGACCCTTCCTGGTCAGGTCCCCAAGGACTCGCCTCTTCAGACCAGGGCCCACGTCACCCCAGCAATGAGTGTGGTCCCCCCGTGTTTCTATCCCCATGTTCAATCAGTTTCTATCTGCCCAACCACAATAGATCTAAACCCTAATGGGAGCAGCGGGGAGGGGGATGTGTTTCTCCCCATCAAGGACAAAAATATGGCCTGGAATTCAAGAACCAAAAAAGGGTGGGAGTGATGGCATACACCTGCAATCCTAGCATGCTGGAGGCTGAGACAGGAGGATTGCCATGATTTCAAGGCCAGCCTGGGCTACATAGCAAGACCCTGTCTCAAAAAACTGAAAAACCAAAACAGAACAAAACAAAAAACCCAGAAAGTGTGGGCGTGGTGGTGCATGCCTATAGTCCTAGGACTCTGGGAGGCTGAGGCAGGAGGATGGGAAGTGTGAGCTCAGCCTGGGCAAACAAAGCAAAACAACCAAAACCAAAAACCCAGGAGATAAACTCCGAGGACTCTGGTTCAGGGACTGCCATGGCTGTGGTCCAGTTGGGTGATCTTTTGACAAGTTTGGATTCTGTGTTCTGGGTTCTTTCAGAGTGACCCAGTGGGGAAAGGTAGATGCTAGGATGTCAGGAGAGGCCGGGCTCCTGTCCCATCCAGTTATGGTGACTTTGGGCCTTGACGTCCTCATCTGTGAAATGGGAGAGTTGAATGGCCAACAGGAGAGAGGATAAACACATGTGGGAGAGCTCCACAAAAGGGTATTTTGGGGCCATAAAGAGGAATGAAATACAGTATATGCCACAACCCCAAGGGACCTTGAACACATTATGCTATGTGAAACAAGCAGCGAAAAAGGACAGGATCATGTGGTTACATTTGTATGATGAGTTCAGAACAGGCACGACCAGAAGCAGAAAGAATTGGTGGTTGCCAGGGGCCAGGGGAAGGGGACAGTGGAGTGGCTGCTAGTGAGTTTAGGGTTTTTCTTTCTGGAGTGGTGTGGCTGTTTGGAATTAGTGGTGAGGGATGCATGATTTTGTGGCTGTAGTAAAAATTACTGCATTGCCCACAATAAAGGCATGGACTTTATGGTTTATGAATGATATCTCAATAAGATCTTTTTTTTTTTAATGCCTTTTTTTGGTATCTTGGATCGAACTCAGGACCTCAGGACCTTGCACTTGGGAAGAAGCCTCAGTGCCGCTGAGCTAAATCCCTGGCCTATGTTTTTTTTTTTTTTTTTTTTTTGAGACAAGATCTCACGATGTAGTTCAGGCTGGTCTTGAACTCACAGTGTAGCCCAAACTAGCCTTGAACTCGTGAGCATCCTCCTGCCTCAGCATCCTGAGTGCTGGGATTATGGGCATGCGTGCACCGCCAAGTCTGGCAACAGGAAAGAAGCTTTTTAAAAAAGTGACAGTTGAATTTTTTTTGTACCAGGGATCGAACTCGGGGCCTTGTGCTTTCGAGGCAGGCGGTGGAACCACTGAGCTAAATCCCCGGCCCTAAAAAGTGACAATTGAAAGCTGGTTGTGGTGCTGCCTGTAATCCCAGCAGTCAGAAGGCTGAAGTAGGAGGATCACCCCCAAATTCCAGACCAGCTTGGGCTATACAGTGAGTTCAAGGCCAGCCTGAACTACAAAGTGAGAACTTGTCTCAACCCCCGCCCCCCCAAAAAAAGTGGCAGTTGAGCTGAGTCAGAGGTCCTTGTGGTTCAGGTTGGCTTCAGAGGATCCGACAGCTTGGGTCCGAGGTCAGCAGTGGACCTCAGGATCAGGGTGGTTGTGCAGGCCCCATGCTAGGAAGCCAGGTGCGGGGATGGGTGCTGCCTTTCTTCCTTAGGCAACTGGAGATGCGCGCCATTCCTGGGGGGCTGCCTTGGGAAATGGAAGTGGTGAAGGGGCTGCAGCCAAGCATGGTTTGAATGGGATTTTGCGAAGTGGCCTTGTTCAGACTGGCTGCTCTGGGGGCTTAAATAGTGTATGTAGGGCCGGGGATTTAGCTCAGTGATTCTGCTGCCTGCCTCGAAAGTGCAAGGTCCTGAGTTCGATCCCCGGTACCGAAAAAAAAAAAATAGTGTATGTAGCATTGTCACAACAACAATTAGTGGCAGGTCTTATGTACTTTATATTTTCAAAGATGATGTCATTACTCATCTCTATGAAATTGGACCCATTATTCCATTTTACAGGTGAGAAAACCGAGGTTCAGTGAGGGAAGAGGCTCTCAGCTGCTTAAAGGACCATGCTGGGGAGGGAAGCAGCTGAGTGTGGGGCACCATAGGGACCATTCCACAGTCTGGTTTTGTTTCTTTCCTAACGGCACTTGGGGTTGAACCCAGTTCCTTCCTAGTGAGCTAAATCTCTATCCCTTTAGAATTTATTTTATTTTATTTGAGACGGGGGTCTCACTAAGTCCATAAGCTGCCCAGGCTGGACTCAAACTTGGGCTCCTCCTGCCTCAGCCTCCCAGAGTGCTGGGATAACAGGCATGCACCACCATGCCTGGCCTTTGATTTGCTTCTGAAAACAGCTCTTCTCTGCCAACAACCACCTACTGTGCAGGCATGGAAAGGGGATGTCTTTGATCCTGTGCAGACCCAGCTGGAGTTCAAGTTGGGCAAGTGACAGTAAGCCATAGCTGCCTTCAGCTTCTTCCTCCGTCGAGCTTTCATTCACTCATCTAACATAACCTCTCTGAGCACCTGAGTTTGCCCGGGCACCGGTGATTGCTGAGCTCAAAGAATGAAGGAGGCTTGGGCCCTTTTTGTGGGAGTTCCAACTGGCTGGGCCCTGGAGCATCCGGGTCTCATGGGATTGTCACCAGGCTGTGTGGCTCACTCCCTCTGGTCCCCCTCCCAGCCCCGTGGGTTTTGGTATCCTGGGGACCCTAAGCAGGAAGGGGGCTGGAGAAGCATCTTAGGGGTCTGGCTCCTTCACTTCGCTCCCGTTGTTTTACCCAGTTCTCTCATTGTGGGTTTGCTCAGCAGACCCCGACGCCCCCATGCCCGAGCTGGGCTGCTGCTCGCTCACTTTCTTACAGCTGCCTTCTGTCTTTTCCGTTTCAGTGTCTCGTGGGAGTGATCGTCCCTCCTTCCCCATTGCAGGCCCTCAGGGACCTGATCCAGTTGGCAAATAAGCTCTCTCCTCCTTCACATGCATCCTTCCCTCCCTGCCAGCCTCCTACATATTGTCAGTATGGTGGAGACATGCAAATAACTTTGAAAAACAGCCTCCCAGGAAATGGGAATTCAACAATATAATAAATTAACCCCATCATGGAATCTGGGTCCCACGGCCATCCATCACGCTGATGCGATTAAGATATGAAAAACCAGATGTCGCTGAGCCGTATGCAGAGCCCCCCTCCCTGGCCCCTCTGCCTTTGCACTTCCCCTCCCCCCAGGATTTGCCCCCCTCCCCATACCCCAGACTGCCACTGCTCCTGCAGCCTCCAGAGGGAGCGAAGGACTTTCACTTTCCCCAGTAACCCAGCACGCGCCATTAGAAAGGAAGTTCCTAGGAGCCCAGGTCTGCAGACCACAGAGCTGTTAGCTGGCTCTGTGTGATAATGGGGCTCTACAGGGCCTGATGTGGATAGGGTCCCCAAGTCTGGAGAAAGGCCGCAGTGCCCCAAATGTGCTGCCAGCAGACCTTCAATTAATTGCATCCATTTCTGAAACAAAACCAGCATCCCTTCAGGGTTAACATTGCAATGTGGCAAAATGCAAACTGCTGTGGCGATTCCCACACTTTCTTGGGCATCCAGGCCCCTGGGGAGCTTGTTAAAGGACCAGTGCCCTGCTGCGCACTCTGATCTGGTAGGGCCAGCCTTGGGTTTAATAGGCTCCCTGGGGAGGCCATGCAGATTTCCTGCATTTTGAGAAATACCCCAGGACATTCCTGGCTTTGTTGGCCAGGTTACTTATTCCCTTCCCATTAGAAGTGTGGAGATGTAGTTTTGAAGGCGTGTGAGAGAAGGGAGGCTGCAGGTCCAATAATGAGCTACAAACGGTCCACATTCCTGGCTGCATCTGTGTACAAACAGACAAACGGGACTCTTAACGAGCTCTCAGGTCCCTGGAGCTCAGAGACAAAGCCTTCTGGTCCTGACTTGCTGGCATGACTTCACACCCGCTCCTCTGATCTTAGATCTCCCATCTGTCAAATATGGGGGGCAATAAATAAACGGAAACCCCCATGTCTGAATAGGCCTAGGAGCTGGGTTTGTATCCACGTGTGTGACTTTAGTGAGCATGGGAACATCTCTGGGCCTGTTTTACATCTATAAAGCAGGGCTGTAAAATGGATACTTAGTTCCTAAGGCTAGTGTAAGAATGAAGGAAATCAGAGTTTGACTTTACTAAGTCCTCCACCCAGGGTAGTAATTATTTTAATATTAATATTATTATTATCTTGGAGGGCCTTTCTGACTCTTCTAGACAGTCTCGGGTAGGTTTCTTCATTTGGTTCTTCGAAAGGAGGGCAATTGTAGCCACTTTCGTGTGGTAAATTAACCTGAGGATTTACCGAGGTAACTCACGGACACAGTCCAGTGCCTAGCACTAGGAAGAGGGGAAGTTTTTTGTTTTGGTTTCTTTTTTGAGACAGGGTCACCCAGTGTAGTTCGGGCTGACCTCCAAGTCGCCACCATTCTTTGACCTCAGGCTCGCGAGTGCTGAGATTACAGGCGTGTGCCACCACACCCTTTTTTTTTTTCCGGTACCGGGACTCGAACTTAGAACCTTGTGCTTGTAAGGCAGGGGTGGCGCCGCTGAGCTAAATCCTTGGTACGAGTTAGGCATACATAATAACACTCATCATTGGAAATTTGCACCCGTACATGGTACATACCCCACGCATGATTTGAACCAGGGAAGTTTTACTCTTGGGCGGTCCAGTCTAGCGACTCTTGGTTCGGAGTAGGGTTGGGGGTGGGAGCGACCCAAGGGTACCTACCGTCCTCCCCTGGCCCCTCCCCCGGCCCCTCCCCCAAACCGTCGGGTTCCCCTTCGGCGGAGCAGAGAAGTGTCTGAGGATGTCAGCAGGGGTCGCTGCCCTGAATCCCCAGCTGTGCCCTGCACAGGTTGCTCACCGCTACTCCCACCCCCTTCCAGCGCCTCCTAAAGCGAGAGACGCAGTGGAGGGGAAAAGGCATAGCGATGCTGCGTGGACGCCCAGTAGTCCTTTGGCGCGTCCAGGTGAAGTGCAAGGGAGGTCTCAGCCCATGTAAGGGCTTTGGGGTAGCAGTCAACCAGGGCTGGCCCCGCCCCGCTGCGGCCCCGCCCCCGCTTCCTCCTGTTCCTGCTTAGTAGCTGCCTCCTCCCCGTCTAGCATTAGGCTCCGCCCACTGAGGACCGGGTTGGGTGGCTCAGGGGTGGGCGTGGCTAACGGCGGCGCTAGGACACGCCCAGCGCCGCGGACGTCACGGAGCGGCGCCGAGGCGGCGCGTTGATTGAGCGCTAGGCGGGAGTGATCGGTTCGGCGGTCCCGGGGCTCGGACCCAAACCCAGGCGGGGACGTAGGGCGAGGTAGCGGAGAGGGGCGGGATTCCCTCAGGGGAGGGATCTGGCCGGGTAGGAGGTGGGACCCCCCCCCCCCCCGCCGGGCTTCGCCTTCCCGGTGTCCGGCTTTGCGCTCCGGGCCCTGCGCCTCCAGGTGTTTTCCTCCGGCCCCGCGCAGTTTGCTCGCACAGCTGCGTTTCCCTGCACCCCGTCCGGGTAGACCGAGGCCGATCGGGGCGCGGCGGTGCCCCCAGGCCGTGACACCTATGTGGGGGCTCTTTCGCAGCTGTCCTGATCCGGGCAGAGGGGGCGCCCTGCTTCGGCCTCCCCACACCGAGGCGAACCACCCGGCCCCCGCCCCCAGGTCACGGCAGCCAGGATGACCACGCTTACGCGACAGGACCTCAACTTTGGCCAAGGTAGGGAGGCTGCGCCTGCGGGCAGGGGTGCGCGTGGGGTGGGGGTTCCGAGCACCGTGTCTGCCCTTTGCAGTGGTGGCCGACGTGCTCTGCGAGTTCCTGGAGGTGGCCGTGCACCTGATTCTGTACGTACGTGAGGTCTACCCGGTGGGCATCTTCCAGAAGCGCAAGAAGTACAATGTGCCGGTGCAGGTGAGTCCCACCTGGCCCGGTTGTGGGCCTCAACGCCCTGTGGGGTCTGGGGCGCCAGGTTGGGGCCAGTGCGCGCCCCAGAACCTCAGTATGAGTAAAAGGCGGATTTTTTTAAAGTTTGCACTTTCAGGCCCTCTCATTTCCCAGCAGCCAGAGGGCCCGGCATCCTCCCACACTTCCTAACAAAAGGGAATCCCCTGACCAGTAGTTAGAGACCCAGGACTCGAGGGCATGGCAGTATTTTAAGAGCTTCTGCACCTCGGAAATTAACTGCAGGAGAGGATTCCCGCAAATTTCCAGCACTTTCTCTTTCCCCTTATCTGATCTAGATGGGGGCCTATGGTTAAAAGGCAGACAAAGGCCAGGGTTTTATGTTAGTGGTTCCGCCTGCCTTGCAAGCACAAGGTCCCTAGTTGGATCCCCGTACCAACAACAACAACAAAAAGAAGGCACTCAGTAAACAGAGTAAATGAATCCTGGAAGGTCGTAGTAGTTTAAAGAATACTTAGGGAAAAGGAAACACGGATTTACATCTATTGAGGATCCACCCTGTACTATTTACTTATCTCATTGAATCCTTTGTCTTTATGAGATCTTCACAGATGAAATAATTGAAGCCCAGAAGGGTTAAGTAATTTGCCTGAGACCACACAGCATTATAAGTGCTTAATTTTTGAACTGTGATTAAATTTCTGAGATCCTTTCTCATAGCCCATGTGCATCCCATACGTACAACTTTGTGTACAACTGTGGGACTTTTCAGACTTGGGGAGCCCATGGACCTGACAGTGGGAGCCCCTAATGCTATATTAAATGCTAAGGTTGAAGTTGAAATTTTGACTTTGAATTTCTCTCCATCATGGGGATAAATTCACAGTTCTTAGCCCCCTGATGGAAAAGGGGGTCCCTGGGCAGCATGCTCTAGGTAGAGCTGCTCGGCTTCTGTCCAAAGGTAAGTGATGACAGAGGGTGTTGATGGATTCCCTGTCTGTGCTTCCGGCCTCAATGCCATGTGGTTGTGACAGATGTCCTGCCATCCGGAGCTGAATCAGTACATCCAGGACACGCTGCACTGCGTCAAGCCACTCCTGGAGAAGGTGAGGGGTACCAGGGCCTTCTAGCCATGTCACCCCCAATCTGTTCCTCTGTGCCTGTGGGTCCACTCTGGGATGGGTGATGCTGGGCCTCTTGGAGTCGCCCAGACTCTAACACCCAGAAGCCCGCACTCTGGAGACCCCCCCGCCCATCAGGTGGGCCATATTTGGGGGAGCTCCCAGATAAGTGGGGTGATTCTGAGTGGGGGCTGCCCAGAGGGTTCCAGAATTTTCCCATGTCTGCCCCCTACCTATAGTTCTGTCCTGGCTGGGCCATCACAGTTTCCCCTGCTGCTGTCCTGGGGCCTGGATGGGAGCCAGCCATCCTCTCCTCCCAGCCTGGACCACTCAGTCCAAAGGTGCTGACTCCAACCCCTCCAACCCGATCTCTGGGTCTCAGGCAGCTGAGGGCTGGGAGGGGTGGGGTACGACTGTGGGTCACATGGCTCTGGCTGGAAAGGGGACTCCTGTCTTTGCAGAACGATGTGGAGAAAGTGGTGGTGGTGATTTTAGATAAAGAGCATCGACCTGTGGAGAAGTTTGTCTTTGAGATCACTCAGCCTCCCTTGCTGTCCATCAGGTGAGCTGGCTGGTGGAATCTGCTGGTTGGTGTGTGCTCTCTAGTGTGACCCCTGCTGCTAAAGAGCCCTTAACTTTAAGGGGCCAGGAGGAGAGATGACTAACTGTGGCATTTATGGCTGAGTCCTGGCTGGCCACACTGCTGTGGATGGCACACAGGTGACATATAGACACCTTCCTGGGTACAACAAAGCATCTTGACATTGGTCAATACTAGCCCAGCCCCATGTTATATAGAAGGAGAAACCATGGTCCAGAGGAATGACGGTGCCATCCAGTGTTACCCCAGTGGTGGCAGAGCAGGGAACAGGTGTCCAGTCCATGGTACAATAGAAGCTGACCCTGGTACATGGGTGTTGGCCAGCTGTCCACTTCTTATGAGGCCAGTGCACTAGAATCTGGCACCAACCTGTTCCCACTGGCTGTGTGGCCTCCTGGTATGTGAAGAGGCTTGGGCTATGTCCTGCTTCTCTCCCTCAGCTGCACATAGAACCTCCTAGGCCCGCTGTGCCTTCCTCCATTGTGTATCTGGGCTGGGATGGCCAGCACCCTCAGAGGCACTGCAGGGCCCTAGGTCAGCTTTGGCAGGGTGGGGGTGCCTGCCGGGGGCCAGGGGAACCTGCAAGATGGAGATCTCCTTTCTTGTCCCCAGTTCTGACTCCTTGCTCTCCCATGTGGAGCAGCTGCTCCGAGCCTTCATCCTGAAGATCAGCGTGTGTGATGCTGTCCTGGACCACAATCCCCCAGGTGTGCGCACTCTCCTTCACATATAATTGCCTTGGGCTGTGCCAAGTGTCTCTCCCTTCCTGCCCCTCAGAACCACCTACTCTAGGCAGCCTACTAGAGTCCCCCTGGCTTCAGTTTCCTGCTGCCTGTGTCTTTTCCCAGCACTTGGCTAGAAAGACGTTGCACTACAAGGCTGCCAAGGCAGTGAGCACAAGGGAAGAGGCCAGCCCAATGCAGGCCTGGGGGAGCCTGGCCTTGATTGACCCCATTTCCGCCTCTCCAGGCTGTACCTTCACCGTCCTGGTACACACGAGAGAAGCTGCCACTAGAAACATGGAGAAGATCCAGGTCATCAAGGTGAGATGAGACTGCTCTATGGGTGGCCAGGGAAGCGGTTGAGGGCCACAGTTCCAGGTGGGTAGGGTATCACCAATGGCCAGTGTCCTTGTGTGCTGCTTACATTAGTACCTTGCACCCGACAGTTTCTGTGGGTCAACCACGTGGACACTCTCCTGGTCATTGTTCCCTCTGGTTACCTAGAGCTTGGAGGAGCCCAGATGGAGCCACATGTGAGCTGCCAGCTCATCCTGGTTCTTCCCAAGTGGGGTTTTCAAGGGAGGGGTCCTTGCCCAGCAGCTTCTGGATGGGTGCTGGGGGCTGTTACATCACTTAGGTTCCTGGCCACCCTGGTGGAGGCACCTGTGAAGCTGCATTGCAGGCAGCTCCCTGGGGATTCTAAGGACCCTAGCTCTGGAGGAGAGGGACAGCCAAGCATGCCCTCACTATGATCCCCTCCCTAGGACTTCCCCTGGATCCTGGCAGATGAGCAGGACGTCCACATGCACGATCCCCGGCTGATACCCCTAAAAACCATGACATCAGACATTTTAAAGGTGAGCTGCAGGGGACCAAAGAAGGTTTATTTAGGAGATGCTTAGGAGGTGGGGCCCAGAGCTGAGGCCTGGCCAGAAGGCTTGCCATTCAAGGCTTAGGGGACAGGGTTAGGGATGCCTGGCGTGAGGCTCCCCCCATCTCTCCCTTCCCCTCCATCCTGGCTTTGCCGACTTTTGGTAGCGATCTGTCTGCCAGCAGCCCTGGGTGGTCCCCCTCACTGCAGCACTTTCTTTCTATTAGATGCAGCTCTACGTGGAAGAGCGAGCTCATAAAAGCAGCTGAGGATGAGCCTGCACCCACTGATGCCACGACTGTCGGACTCTGGGGACCCAGCTGCGACAGCGGTGTGGGCCCTGCCTCCAAGTGCTCTTACTGCCCCTGTGCAGGTGCCACCCTCCAGCTAGGGCTGCCCAAGTCCACTTGGTTTCATGGAGGAGGCATCTCCAGGAGGGCAGAGAGGGATGCTGGGACCTCAATTTCCCATCTCTTGGGGCTCAACCGGCTGACACGGTCTGTCTCAAATACTGTGAGTTGTTTTAATAAAGTGCCCCAAGGGCTGGCTGGGGTGTCTCTCCGAGGGACAGGTACAACCAGGTGAACCTGGGAAGGTTGCTTCTCTAGCAGAGTGCCACCCCTGTCACAATCCACACAATCAACCCTAGGCTGGTTTCACTGAAAACATTTATTATAACAAAACACCAGCACCAGTGTGACCGTAAGTTTCCAGCAGCTGGGGGAACTGACTGCCTGCTGCTGGCCCAGCTCTCGCCTGGAGGGACCTGCAGCTGACCTGGATAGAGGATGGACGAATGATGGCCAGGCGACTGTCATCGGGCAGACAGGTGAGAAGGCACCTGGGCAGCTTCCTCCACCCCTACATTGTCAGACACCGCGGCAGATGGGGCTGGCTTCCTGGCCATCTTGTTGCTAACAATGATGCTACTGTTGGTGACCCTGGGCCCATACCAGCCTGCCCAGAACTGGGTGTCGTGGCCCCCGTGCTGGAAGAGGATGTGGCGGACGCCTGGAGGGTAGTCTGAGAAGGTGTGGGAGACCTGGGGGAAGGCGGAGAGGTGACCACCGAGGAGGGAGATGCAGAGCTTGCCAGGTTGGGAGGAGTTGGCGGGGGGGTGGGCGCAATCTCACCTCTGTCCACGAGGCATCGTTCCATTGCTGGATGGTCACAGGCGGGGGCTCGAAGGAGGCCAGGGTGATGTAGTCGGCTGAAACCAGCTGGACTCGTATCTGGTAGGTGCAGCCGCAGTCTCTTCTGGCGGCGAACCTGGGGGCGGTGGGGAGAGCTGTGTGTTAAGCCCCCTCGCTGGCCCTGGGGACAGACAGAGGCAGCAGGCCCACACACCGGAGCCACTTCGTTTCCTGAGCTTGGCCCCTCTGCCCACCAGCCTGCCAGGGCCCGGCCAGCTTCGGTGGCCTCTCTGTCCCTCCTCGCCCAGAGAAGGCCATTATCCATGCGGGGCCTAAAAGGGCAACTTTTGGGGAAATCCTACTGAAGAGGTGACCTTGAAAAGCATGAGGCCCTATTTGTCCCAGCCATGTCACCTGTGCATCGCAGTGTATGGGACGTCCAGGTGGGGGCTGCACAGAGCTCAGCCCTGCAGGGATACCCTTAGGCCTCACCCCTCTTCTCTCGGAGTGCTGCCTGGGCCCTGGGTGGACTGGGGTCCAGATCCGCGTGGCCCAGGCCAGAGCCTTGCAATTGGTTCTGTGCCCAGAGTATCGACTCGAGAAAGAGCTGCATGCTGGGTGGCTCAGTGGCACGGTGGGTGTTCTGGACACTCAGGGTCCTGGGTTCAAGCCCCAGGACTGCACAGAAAAAAACATCATGGGGCGGGAAGGAAAAACATGGGCAAGAAGCTGTGAAGTTTCCACAAAGTCCAGGGAGGCCTGGGGTGCTCTTCCTGTTAGGGGCCTTCGCTGGCAGGCCTCAGTCTCCATCTGCAGCCTGGTGGGTCATATCCTGCTGGGGACCTCACAGGCACTGGGTGTCGGGAGAGGGAGGGCGGGGCCAGGCCGCCGAGCTCTAGGACAGGCTGCATGCAGAGTGGGCACTTGCTGTGGGTTCTCTGAGGAGGGGAGGATGTGGAACGTGGGGATGCAGGCCACTCACCAGTCCTTCACCTCGATGTCGGGCCGAAACGTGTCCAGCAGCTCCTCCCAGTAGCCCTCAGCCTTGAGGTCCACCATCTGGGACTTGAGGCACAGCCTGGGGAGTGGGGGGCGGGGCTGTGTGCAGGAGTGCTATGCAGGGCCCTCTCTTGTGGCCCTGGCAGCCCCCAGGGGACCAGGGAGGTCAAAGGGACCCTGGGCCCCCCCCTGACCACCATAGCAGACCCATGGGAAGCATAGGGCCCATGTGACCCCTGATCCTAGCTTGGGGACACCTGGAGGACACCCGGACTTCCCTGCCCAGTTGGCTCCCGGCTACCTGAACCCAATCTCTTCACCCACTGCCCAGTGCACTTCCCTGGAAGCTGGGGGCTTTGGGCGTGTTTGGGAACCGCCACCCTCCAGCTTCCAGAGACCCTCACCTGGCCTGAGGTTTGGCAAAGGTGTCCCGACCCGTGTCTGTCTGTGTGGTCCGGTCCCCCCGCCACCCTCTGTGCACAGGCCTGGTCTGCTCAGTCCTCACCCATAGGAGGTGACAAAGTACTTCTTGACTTTGGGGTCAGGAAAGTCTGTGCCATGGTCCCCAGGGAGCCTCTCCACCTTCCACTGGTTCCCCTGGTTGGCGTCAAGTTCCCAGGATTCCATGTTCTCTAGGAAAAGCGGAAGCCATGGTGAGGTTCCATCGATGTGTGTTTTCTTTTTCTGTGGTGCTGGGAATTGGATGCAGGGCCTCACAGCCCAGCCCCTCTGTAAATCTCAAGTCCTGGCCTGGGAGGAGAGGGTACTGCTCGGGTTCCTCTCTGGACGTGAGGTTTGCTGTGCTCAGCTTTCTGGGGCTGCAGACACCCAGGGTTCATCATCTTGTTCCTTCCCAAGGGCACTGCAGCCAAGGTCAGCACTCTACCTGCCCAAGGGCCCTGGAGCTCCCCAACAGTGCTTAATTCCCCATTATCGGCTCTGGCTGGGGACTTGCTCCCTCCCACTCTGTCCCCAGCTGGCATGCCTCCTAAAGTCGGCATGGGAACAACAAAAATGATAAAACAACCCTTTCCTCACGCCTATGCTGCCATGGGGCTCCAATACGCAAGTTTCAGTTCTTAAACTATATGAGGAAGGACCCTTAACAGTGCTGACCCCAGGGCTGCTGGGACTTCCAACCATAGGACAAGACCCTAGGGGATGGGAGAGAGGCCTGCCCCAAGGGTTTGTCAGTGGGTCAGGGGAGCCTGCTGTTGGGACATGACTCAGATACTTGGTGCCTAGGGTCGAGGTACCAGATGGAGGCCCAGGATAGCAGTTCATGGCCCTGTGTCCATGAAGGTCATCTGTTAGGTGGGTCCTCTTTCAGACTGAGCTCTGAGGACCTAGAAAAGCCACCGTGCTTCCCTGCCAAGCTGTCCAGAACCACCATAGGGAGACCTGTTTCAAACTGATGGGGGTTTCCAGGAGCTGGCCCAGTGCTGAGTTTAGGGCTGGGCACAGTGGCCTGAGCAGCCTGGGCTAACTGGATGGCCGCAGGGCCGGGCACCAGACCAGGTGCAGACTGCTAGTGCTGGTGCTGGAGCTGGCTGGCTGGGCAGCTCTGGAACAGAATCTAGGACAGGTGGGGAGATTAAGTGTCTGGTGTCACCTGCAGGGCCTCCGAGAGAGCCTGAGGCTTCATCAGCCAGGCCCAGACCTCAGAGGTGGCGGTCAGGATCTCTGGGGAAGCCATGCCTCTTGGGGACCAAGGCGCTCCACCTACCAAATGCAGCACAACCTAACTGTCAGGCTGACTTCTTGGGATCCTAGATGGTAAGGGCTCTGAGTGCACAGACAACTCAGTGGGAGCTGGAGCTGCAAGGAGCACATGCCCCAGACATAATAGGTGCTGAAGAAGCGAGGGCATGTGGCAGGCAGTAGGGGTCTGAGAGCACAACAGGCAGTGGGAACTGCAGGTGCAAAGGCCTTGAGGTCTAGGAAAGGGAAGGAACGGCTGCAATAGCAGCCCCCGCCCACCTCAGCCCACCTTCAGCACAGGGGTTGTGCAGGAGGTTCCTTCGGAGGCTGCACAGGAAGTAGAAGACCTTCCAGTCGGCCACAGGCTGGTCCCAGTCCTCGGTGATGAAGCCCTCGAGGAGGCACCTGCGCTTCCAGAGGGTCATGAGGTCGATGAGGTCCCGCCAGAGGCTGCAGACCAGACGACAGCGCAGCAGCAGCTGGCGGGCAGGCACGTGCATGAAGAGCTCCAGCAGGATGTTCTCGGGCAGCTCGTTGATGCCGATGGGGTCCATGGCACGTGCGATGCATAGGCCTGCGTGGGGACAGTGGTGAACCTCAGCCAGGAAGGAGGTCCCTTGGGTGCCTAGGGACTGACTCCTCTACTCCTGTGTCCTCTGTCGTGCAGTTGAGGCGACGGGGGTCTCTGAGGACCCTTCTCATATGCAGGAGTGGTCCCAAGCTGTGTACATTTGGAAGACTACAATAAAAATATGAAAGTCCCTAGGGACAGAGTGGAATGTGTGATGCGCACCTGTAGTCGCAGCTCCTCCTACTCAGAGGTGGAGGCAGGAGGAGTTGGAGCCCCTGTCACAAAAAGAGAAAAGTTAAAGGCTAAGGACAATTTTTTTTTTTTGTACCGTGGATTGAATTTAGGACCTTGTGCTTGCCAGGCAGGCACGCACCACTGAGCTACATCCCCCGCCCCCCATTAAAAAATAATTGCCTCTTTTTTTTTTTTTTCAGTACTGGAAAGTGAACCCAGCGTCTTTGTCCTGAGGTACATCCCCAATCCTTTTAAAATTTTTAATCTTGAGATAGGTTCTTACTAAATTTTGAGGCTGGGCCCAAACTCCTCCTGCCTCAGCCTGCCACACCACTAGGAATTGCAGGAATGTACCACCAACCCCTGCCAGCCTTGCTTCATTTGGAAGCCAGTTGAATAGGTGACCTGTAAGATTTTGCTGAGGCCTGTGGATTCCGTGAGGGTTTGGCTGACTGTCCTGTACTAATGCCGAGAGTTCCCCGTCAGAGTATAAATCTGGTTGTGGTGGAGGGAATGCTGCTGGGAAACAGCTTCCCTACCCTTAGGTGCTCCTGGGGCCCCAAGCCAGATGAGGTGCCACGCCCAGGAGGGTCACAGCATGGAGGACTCCAGAGGAGGCAGGAATCTGCAGCAAGGGGACCTCAGGGCGGGGGTGGCTCAGGCAGGCTCAGGGCCCTCACAGAGGGGCCTTATCTGCCCACACCTGGGGGACAGGATGTGCTCCCCACACACAGGGAACAGGAAGCTGATGGTCTCTTCTGCTCGTCCATTGAGATGCGGCCCCCAAAGCAGTTCAGTCTCCTGAGAGGCCCTCTCCCAGGAACGGGTGGGTGTGCACTCTGGCTTTCAGCAGAGTAAAAAGGATAGGCGGACAAGCAAAGTACCTGTGCCCTGTGGGAAATGGCTGGTTGGGAAGCCGGCCCACACCGCCACCCAGGCAAGGTCTGAGCGCAAGCAGTTTTTAAAAACAAAACCTAGCTGGGAGGGCTGAGGCATGCCTGGAATCCTAGCACTTGGGAGTTGCTGAGGCAGAAGGATCATAACTAGTTGGGCGACATAGTTAGACCCCATCTGGAAAAAATAAAATAAAAAGGGCTGGGCATGTAGCTCAGTGCAAAGGCCCTGGGTTCAATCTCAGGTACAGGGGGAAAAAATCAGGCAATTTAAAACAGCTGACAAGCCGGGCATTTAGCTCACTGGCGCCGCGCCTGCCTCTCAAGCGCAAGGTCCTGAGTTCGATCCCCGGTACCGGGGGAAAAAAAATTTAAAGAAAAGAAAACTGCTGACAACCTCTAAAAGCACTGTAAACCAAATTAAGTCACAGGGTTCCGTGGTGGAGGGGTACTGGGTACAAAGGGATTCCCATTGTGAGATCCAGTCTGCGTCATACCCCTCCGAACCTCACCCCATCCCACGCCACCCCCGCCACCCGGGCGGGAGACAAGGCCCGCACAGGGGCGGAAACTGTGCGGGGGGCGGTCACACTGTGCTCACTGGTGCCTTGGCTGTCCTGAGCTGGCCTGTCCCACTCCCTGCCACCCCCGAACCGGGGGACAAGGCCCTGGGAGCCGCGGGACCGCCAGGGCACGCGCCCGGGCACGGCGTCCGCAGCTCTACGACCGCCCGCGCCCCCGCCCCGCCCCGCCCCGCCGGTTCCCCCGAAGGGTCGCGACCTGAGCGCGGGACCGGGCAAGCGCCCCGGCAACAGTTCCGGTAGCCGCGGCTCGGGCCTCGGCGACGTCGCCTCTCGCCCCGCCCCGACGGTCCTTCTGCGTCATGCGCCGTGGGACACCAGCGCCCCCTGCGGCCGCAGCACCCACCTCTCCCAGCCAGGAAAGCCAGCCTCGGTTCTCCTTTTATCTGTTCTCCCTGGGCAGACGGAAGTGGGACAGTCCCCGGCTCTGGAACCACCCACAGATCCCTCCCTGAGAGCCCCAGGCAACCAAAGAGCCGGTAAAAACCTCTTCCGGGTTTGCTCCAGACTCTGCATGAATTCTTTCTTTCTACGAGGGTTATGAAGCATCGTTTTCAGGCAACCACCAAGGGTTTTCCTGGCTGAGCGCTGCACAAGGGAGATGACCTTGTGGCCCTGTCGCATTCAGGTCTCTGTCTTCTCTAAGGAAGACTGGCTTTTTCCAGGTGGTGGGTGGTGGCCCCTGCCTGCCCTGACTGGGCCCCGATCCAGCTCACGGTTGAGATCCGGACATTTGAGCATTTATTGAGCACCTACTGTATGCGAGGGACCATTCCAAATGCTTCGGCTGCATCCAAGGTCAGTAAAGCTCTTGGTAGAGAGTGACATCAGAAGCACAGCTTGGGTGGCACTGCACAGCCAGCGGGAGGTGTACTGATGGGTTCCGTGGAGTGAGGTGTCTGCATGTGGCTGAGGGATCTTGCTGTGACCAGGCTCTGGGATCCAGCCCCTTAAATGTCAGGCCCTCTCTGGACAGAAGCCACACTTTGTAGCCACAGGCCTGCCCCCTGCCTGTGGCACAGGGACAGCAGGGCTGGGAACACCTTTATTTGAGTGCATGCAGTAGGTTTCAGTCCTTCCTGCAGGAGGGAGGCAGAAGCATGGTGGGAAACCCTGGGAATGGCACTTCTGGGGCAGGGGGCCTGGCCAGGGGATGGAGGTGGGCAGGTGGCCCCAGAAAATGCTCCACCCTATTCACCCTGGGCTCCCAAATCCCAACCCTCAGAGTCTCAGCCAGGTCCTGAGCCCAGATTCCCTGGGATGCCTGTGGAGGACTCCCTGGGGCCTCCGGAGAGCCCAGCCCCCACCTGGTGCCCGTCTGGCTTTGGGACAGTCCACCCCCTCTGGACGCCACCCACTTCTGGTCTGCCTCGTTCTTCACAAACCCAGCCACAGCCACCTCTTCTGGGAAGGCAGGAGGAGTGGGGGACACTTATGAGTGGCAGAATGGGGTGGGGACCATCTGAGAGCTCTCCTCTCTCCCACATCTGTCTGGTTGCAGGCCCACCCCACCCCCCAACATCTGCACTGTCAAAGGCAGTCACACTGATGCCTTACTTGGCCCTGCTCCAAGGGCCCCCAAGGAATACCCTGAGAATGGGCTCTGTGCATGTGTGTAGGTAGAGGCACAGATCTAGGCTGGTGTCTGAGCTTGGAGCCCCCCTCTCAGAGCCTGGGGGACCCCTTGCACTCCCCTAACCTTGGATGCTCCATCTCTAGAGGGCTCCTGTAATCTTTCAGGTCTGTGTCAGTGAAGAGCTGTCCTGCTGCTGGCCACTGAGGAAGGAGCAGCTGGGGTCCAGGTCTGGGGACACCTGGCTTGCACACCTCCTTCCCTTCCCAGGCCCAGCCCCGCTCCGAGAGCAGTTTACCCATTAGGGTTCTGTGGCTGGGGATTCAGGGAGGCATCAGGGCTGTGTGGGCCCAATGGTGATGCTGCTGTTAGTGACCCTTGGGCCGTACCAGCCGACCCAGTAGTGAGTGTCCACGCCGCCGTGCTGGAACCAGATGTAGCGGACGCCAGGAGGGTAGTTGGAGAACGTATGGGAGACCTGGAGGCAGGCAGAGGGCAGGGAGAGGTCATGGGGGGCTGATGAGATGGGGGCATTGGCTGAGGGGCCCCAGGAGCAGGGGAGCGACTGGATTCTGAGGGTCTGACCAACCGTGCCTCAGTTTCCACATCTGTCCTAGGGAGCAAAACCCTGCCTGGTCCACTGCACAGAGTCATCATGGGGCTCAAAGGAACTGAAACTGCCAGCTGCCAAATGATGTCCAGTGAGGTCATCACTGGGCACGTGTGGCTATATAAGATACCACTGATTGAAATTACATAAGATGTAGAAAGTTCCTTTATGCAGTCATCCTAGGACGTGGCTCTCAGTAAGGGTTCAGTTCTTGTTGGTTGGTACTGGCTACCGACTGGACACAACAAAAACAGGCCATTTCTGTCACTGCTGAAAGTTCTCTGGGATGGTGCTGGTCCAGATCAGAGCTTAGCAAACTACCTAACAGGCCCACTGTCTTTTTTTTTTTTTGGACCGGGGATGGAACTCAGGACCGTGCACTTGCAAAGCAGGTGGCGGAACCACTGAGTTAATTCCCCAGCCCCCACTGCCTATTTTTATAAATAAAGTTGGGTTTTTTTTTGGTACTGGGGATCGAACTCACGACCTTGCACTTGAGAGGCACACGTGGTGCCACTGAGCTAAATCCCTGGCCCCTATAAATAAAGTTTTATTGCAACACGGCCACGTGTGCTGGTTTGCACACCATCTAAAGCTGCTTTCACAGCAGAGGTAAAGGGTGAGTTGCTGTGACAGAGACAGGACAGCCTGCAAAGCCCAAGATTTCTGTATCTGGCCTTAAAAGACAACACTGGTGACCCTAGTTTGGATAACACAGATGTTTTTCAAATCACAACTGAATCGAGGGCTCAAGTGCCCATCAACCTATTGTAAGTTGAAAATGCTGTAAGTGGCAATGCATTCAATGCCCTGATAAACAAATCTGACTTTTGCAAAATCTTAACTGAAACCCTTGCAGGTCCAGATGCTCCTGGCCATAAGATGGGATCATACCCAATAAATCCATCGTTAAGTCAAAACACAGTAAGTGAAGCTATTGTAGGTTGGGCACCCTATGTAGTAGTAGTCAGTATTAGTTAGTTAGTGGGCTGGGGATTTAGCTCAGTGGTTCTGCTGCCCATTTCGAAAGTGCAAGGTCCTGAGTTTGATTCCTGGTACCAAAAAAAAAAAAAAAGTTAATTAGTAAAAATCAACCTTTCCGTGTGTGTGTGCACAAGTGTGGTGCTGGGGACAGAACCCAGGACCTTGCAGATTCTAGGTAAGTGCTCAATCACTGAGCCACACTTTGGCCCCCACTTCCTGAATGGTTTTTGGACCTGGCATTAGACAGTGCAAGGGAAGCATCATCATCATTATTTTTTTGGTACCAGGGACCGAACTCGGGACTTTGTGCTTTTGAGGCAGGTGGCAGAACCACTGAGCTAAATCCCCAGCCCAGAAGCATCACTATTCTTGTTGCATGGATGAAGCAGGTGACATTCAGAGCAGTGGAAGCTCCTGGGAGAAGTGTCAGAGCTTGGACCTGACCCTAGACCGCCCTGACTGTTGTCTTGCCTTGGGGATGCTGCCCTGCCCCTCCGAGGCCATATACCTCTCTCCACTTGGCGTCACTCTTCCGCTGGATCATCGCAGGGTCTGGCTGGAAGGTCCCCAGAGGTGTGTGCGCGGATGACAGCAGCTGGACGCACAGTTGGTACTTTGAGCCACAGTCCGGCCTGGCTGCAAACCTGTGGGGATGGAGGGCCAGGTCAGCGCCTCAAAGATGGGGAGCAGAGTGGGGTGGGGGTCCTGAATGGCAGCCACCCCCAGACTCGTGTGCCAGCCACTCACCAGTCCTTGACCTCAATGTCTGGCTGCATGGTGTCCATGAGCTCCTCCCAGTACCCTTCAGCCTTGAGGTCCACCACCTGGGACTTGAGGCAGGTGCTGGGGGCGGGTGGAGGGGTGCTGGGGTCACCATGGGGGCCCAGAGGCTCTGAGCGTCCCTCTCCAGATGGGCAGGGACTTGGGCTTCCCCCTGCCCCAAAGCCCAGATCTTACTAATAAGAAGTCACGAAGTATTTCTTGACCTGGTCACTGGGGAATTCCTTCCTCTGCTCCCAGGACAGGTCCTCCACCTTCCACTCATCACCGCCGTTCACGTCCAAGCTCCAGAACTCAAACCCCTCTGGCAGGAGAGCAGAGCTCATGGTGGGTGGTGGCCCTCGGGAATCACCTCTCCCACCCGCCCCTCCCTCCCTGGAACTCTGCAGCTGACTCCATCCAGCGCTGGGGGGGCACTGCACATCAGTTGGGTCTACCTTGTGTTTGGTGCCTTCTGAGTCCCAGGCATAGGTAAGTGATTTACACTGAGAAATCTGGACAAAAGATGATGTGAACAAACAGACCCCTTCTGTGACAGAGAAAGCTCTACATGGGCCAGACAGACCTGAGTCTTATACCAGCTCTGCCATTACTGGGCTGTGTGACCTTGGACAAATTGCTTTCCTTCTCTGAGCCTTGGTCTTCTCTGGAACTGCACTCAAGAACAGGCTGGGAGGGCTGGGGATTTAGCTCAGTGGTTCTTGCCCTTGCCTCAAAAGTGCAAGGTCCCGAGTTCGATCCCCGGTACCAAAAAAAGAAAAGAAAGAAAAAGAAGAAGAAGAGGCTGGGAAACTTTCTCAAAAAGCAATTTCACTTTCGTGGGACCTCACCCCATCCCTTGTCCCTATCACATTGTTTAGGGTTTCTTTTTCTTTCTTTTGTGTATGTATGGGTCCAGGAGATTGAACCTTCACACTCAACCACATCACCAGTCGGCTCCCCCTTTTTGAGATGGGGGTTTCACTAAGTCACTAAAATGCCCTAACTTCTGACCCTTCCAACTCAGTCTCCCCAGCAACCAGGGCTACAGGCATGTGCCACCATGCCCAGCAAGTATAGTTGCTTTTAAAGGGTAATAAAAGCCAAGCACAGTGGTGCATGCCTGTAGTCCCAGCTACTCAGAGGACTGAGGTGGGAGGATTATAAATTGGAGGCCAGCCTGAGCTACTGAGCTACACAGTGAGTTCAAGGCCACCCTGGACCACATAGCAAGACCCTATCTCAAAAACAAACAATCAAAAAAAAAAAAAAAACCAAAGAAAACACACAGGGAAAACAAAGCAAAACAAAATACATTCTTAATTCCTTGTCCAGCTCTGGCTTGTGGCCCAAAGTTTGCTTTTGTTGTTTTGTTTTTCGAAGCAAGGTCTTGCTCTGTAATTCAGGCTGGCCTTGAACTCACTATGTAGCCCAGGTTGGCCTGAACTCATGGTGCTCTTTCTGTCTCATCCTCCCGAGTGCGGGGATTACAGGTGTGTGCCACTACGCCTAGCTGTGGCCCACAGTTTGCCAAATGCTGGTCAAGTGGGCAGCTGTTGAGGCCTCAAAGGAGACAGCATCTGATAGCTCACAGTTTTATCATCATTTGGCTCCAGAATCTGACCACACAACAGAAGACGATATCTTCATCCCACTCCAGTGTCCCCCCTCCCTGACAAGTGACAGCATAGCAAGGTAGAGGGTTCATCTTCATGTCAACTTGACTTACTCCAGAGCTACCTAGGGGATTAGGAAAGCACACTTCTGGGTGTGTCTGGGTGGGTCTTGGTGGCATGACCCTGGGGACTCTATCTGTCCCTTACTTCCTTTGTGGCCCTCTTCCCTTATGCTCTGCTTTCTTGCCACCATGATGTGGGCAGTGTTCCTCCGCCATACCCTTCTGCCGTGATGTTCCTGTCTTGGAGCTAGCTGACCATGGACTTAAACCTCTGAAGCCGTGAGCCAAACAAGCCTCTCCTCCTTTAAGTTGTTGGGTGTCAGGTGTTTTGTTCCAGTGACGGGAAAGCTGATGGATCCACAGGGGAAGCTGGGGTTCAGAGTGACATAGGAGCCTTATTTTGTCTGTTGCTGCTACCCTCTGGAAAGAAGACTGGATCTCTCCTTCTTTCACAAGAACAGCCCCGCCCCCAGCCCTGCCTGTCTTCTGGGATAGTCACAGTATGTTCAGCCCTGTGACTTGTATCTTGGGCACAAATTTTTTCAGGTGGCCAACAATCTTTTTAGTAGTAAAGGTCACTGGAGAAATAATTTTAGAAGTGGAATAAGAAATACTACCCTTGGTCTCTCTCTCAGTCTGCCCATCTGGACCGTGGGTTCAAGGGCAATCCCTACCTCGAAGGGTTGTTGTGAGAGGACTGAAGGCATTAAACCACCCAAAGGACCTGAGCTGGTGTTTGGTGCTAGGGCACACCAGACCCCACCGCACCCCACCTTCAGCACACAGGTTGTGCAGGAGGTTCCTTCGGAGGCTGCACAGGAAGTAGAAGACCTTCCAGTCGGCCACAGGCTGGTCCCAGTCCTCGGTGATGAAGCCCTCGAGGAGGCACTTGCGCTTCCAGAGAGTCACGAGGTCGATGAGGTCCCGCCAGAGGCTGCAGACCGGGCGACAGTGCAGCAGCAGCTGGCGGGCGGGCACGTGCATGAAGAGCTCCAGCAGGATGTTCTCGGGCAGCTCGTTGATGTTCCCCACGGCCATGGTGGTGGCTTTGGTTACCCCCTGTGGTTACGGAAAAGCCACACTGGCAGTCTGTCCTCCCCCCAGAACCCATTATTTGCAGCATCGGGTGGTGGTAGAGGGTCCCATCCCAGCGGCCACTGACTGGGCCTTTCTGTGCTTCAGTTCCATCCTCTAAATGGGGTCGGGAAGGGGGCTTCCTTCCAGGGTCACTGGGCCCATCCGAGGAGCATGGCGAACAGCAGGTGCTCAATAACAGGTGAGCTCCGTGACCTTCCACAGCACCTAAGCACAGCTTTGAGGAGGCCGGGAGGGTCAAAGCAGCTGTCCAAGGTCGCGCAGCAGGGACAGAGGGGGAAAGGAGCCCGGGTCCTCTCAGATCCTGGAGCAGCCTTTTTCAGTGGGTCGCGGTCTTTGGAGAGGAAATAATGGCAGCCTGGCCCTGTTCCATAGGGATCTCCTCTCTCAGCCTCAGCCTTGGTGATGGAGAAGAAATTGCAAGGGGATAACATATCACTCTCTCCACAGGAGGCCCAAAGGGCTCTGCAACTTTCTCAAGATCACAGAGAAAAATGAGGGCCTAGCCGGGATTGGAGAGAGGTGGCCGATAGATGAGGACGCGCCTACCCCGAGCCTACCCTCGCTCTGGGCTCCAGCTCCGGGGCCCCAGCGCGCCTGCGGCCTCCAAGTCTCACGCTGTGGTTTGAAAGGATCCCCCACGTTAGGACCCAGCGCCCCGATGGCGACCGCAGCCTGCGTCCTCGCCGCCCGCCGCCCGCCGCCCGCCGCCCGCCGCTCGCAGCCTGGGCCTGGTCGGCGCTAGGCGCACTGCGGCGCACGGAGACGGCGAGCGCGCCCGCCCCGCCCTGAGCGCCCCGCGGTCACCTGCGGTCGGCCGCTGCCGCGCGATCGCGCTAGGTCCCCGGGGCTGGGCCGGCTCGGCCCGAAGTCGCCGGTGGACGTGGCCCCGCCCCGGTCCGCCAGGCCCCGCCCCTCTCCTCGCCCCCCACCGCACATAGGAAATTTACGGGGGGGGGGGGAGAAGGCGCCTCCCGCCCCCCAGCCCCGCCAGGCCATGCGCCCCACATAGCGCGTAGGAAAGACCCCAAATACCCCTGCGCCCCTCGCCACCACCTCCGCGCAGCGCCACCAGGGTGAGCTGGGGACCCCCCCTCCCCCTCAAATCGGATCCTCCCTAGAGAAAACCCGACTCCTGACCTTTGTGGGCCAAGCGCCCGGACCGCGGGGCGGGGCGGGGCGGCGCGGAGCCTTTAAGAGGCGCGGCCGCCCGGGCCGCCCCAGACGCGGGCAGAGCTCCGACTCGCCGCCCGAAGCGACCCGGCTCCTCCTCCGTCGCCTCCTGCAACCGCGCTCCGCAGCGATGGACGGAGACGGGGACCAAGGTAGCCGGCGCCCGGACGCACGGGCTGCAGCCGGGAGGGCAGGCGGGCAGCGCGCCGGGGCCCAGAGGGGTCCTCGGAGGGCGAGGGGCCCCCGAGAACCGCGCGCAAACTTTCCCGCGAGCAGAGCCCTTTCGATGAGCCCTCCAGTCTCAACGGAGCACGGATTTTCTTCTCTGTCAGCTGTCTTGCGCTGCTGGGAGGCCTGGAGAAATGTCAAGCAGGGAGGGGGCTCCTGGGTCCCTGCCGAATTCCCAGTGGGGCTGGGGCCCGGAGCCAGGTGGCTGTAGACTTCTTCTGTCTCCACTTTCTGCATCGGTCAGCTCTGGCCCGTGGGTTTCTTAGGGCTACCGGCCTTTTCCCACGCACTTGGGCGCCACATCGCCGTGGAGTTGGGGCCCGCTGTTTCTCAGTGCACTCTGCGACTGCTCAGTCATCTTTTCTGGCACCCTAGGACCCCGCCCCCCACCCTCCAGCTTTCTTCTGGGCCTGTAGGGTTTGGCCTGCTGAGTCAGGGTGGGAACAAGACCTGCCGGCGCAGCGCTTGTCCCTTCCTCTCCTGGCCCAGCTCGGGTGGGCAGTGCTGGGGGAAGGCAGTGGAAAAGTCAAGTCAGCGACCCCCGTCCTGAATCCTGAACCCCCGGCTCCCGAAGCCCCTGCCCCTAACCTGTGGTTCCCCTGCCACACCCTGGAGAGGGCCCCAGAATGGGCTCCTGATTTTCCCCAGGGCCCAGCTATTCCCTGGACTCCGTGGCCCAATCCAGGTGAGTGAATCAGCCAGGAGGTAGCTTCCAGGAGCCAGATAACTTTCCACAACAACAATGTGGGGAGTTGTGTGCACTAGAAGGGGGGCAGTGGGGGGCCGTAATCGGATCTGGGGCCTCAGCACCAGGCCTGGGGGCCAGGAGAGGGGACTGGGCTAGGGCACCTTTCGGGGAGCATCAGGTGTCCATCCACTGGGGCCAGGGCAAGGGAGGGGGAGTGGTGGTGGAGAGGGGAGAACACTGGCCAGGCTTCCCAGAGACCTTTGGGCTGCCAGATGGACATAGATGGACATTTATTTCCTCCTTGCTTTCCCCATGGTGTGCGGGGTGACCTGATGAGTCTCTGGGGCTCAGTTTCCTCTTTGCCCAAAGGGAGGGGGCAGAGCCCTGCATCACTCAAATGTGGTCTCGCAGTGCTGGTCACGAAGGGAATGTGCTGAGTTTGATAAGATTCCCTAAGGGTTGCTGAGGATACCCTGGGTACCTGGGCTCAGAAAGACTTGGTCAAGCCCTATTCAGCATAGGGTGCCTGGCTGTGTGCATGTGTGCTGTGTGTGAGGAGGTTCAGGCCCAGATTCTGGTCCTAGGCCCTGCCACCTGTCCCCTTCCCCAGTGCCAGGCTCTTTCCCTCATTGCAGGGCCCAGGGCCCAGGAATGCCTGGTCCTGGGTCTGACAGCAGCAGCCTCCCCACCGAGTGGCCCCGTCTCCTCCCCACTGCTGTCCACCCTCCAGAGGCACTGCGTTCTTGGTATCTGCTTTCTTAAGCTTCCGTGGCCGAGTGAGGAGAGCGGGGACCCAAGTGACATCTGCCTGCTGCCTTTCAACTCCTGATGTCCTCATCCCTCCTCAGGGGAGCTGAACCTCAGCACCATCAGATGGCCAGGCACGATGGTTACCCTATTTCGCAGATGAGGAAACTGAGGCCTGGGGACTGGAAAAGACACACCAGCCATTTTATGCTTAGAACAAGCCTGGCACTTGCTAAGTGGCCAATAAATAGGAGCTCTGGACAGGCCAGTGCCAGGCACCTGGTTTCACGATTCAGGAGGTCATTCTGGTGAGGAAAAAGGCCGATCACTAGCCAGGCACTGTGGTGCGTGCCTGTGATCCCAGCCCTTGGGAGGCTGAGGCAGGAGGATTGCTGGGAGTTCATGGCCAGCCTGAACTGCATACCGAGACCCTATCTCAACAAAACAAAACAACAAAAAAGCTGATCACATCCCAGGACAAATGTTAGGAAGCCTTTGAATTTGGGCTGTGCGAGGGGAAGTCCAGGAAGGCTTCCAGAGCGGGTGAGAGAGCAGAGGTCTCGGAGGATGCTTAGGAGGATTAACGGGGTTCCGAGTGAAGCTCAGGACAATGCTGTTGGTGGCTCTGCTCAGGGATGGGGTTTATGGGCCCTGCAGGGGACACGGAGTGGCCAGGCAGTTCTTGGACTGCGACTGAGGGCACCCATCTGGGGCTCAGCCGCCTCCCTGGGCACCCAGGTGGAGTCACAGAATCTCTCCTGGCAGCTGTGGTTGCCCTGGGGGGCAGGTGGGCGCGGAGGGGGACAGTCTGGGGGAGTCACAGCCTCGCCACTCCCCCATCTGCCCGCAGAGAGCGTGGGCCAGGCTGAGGAGGCGAGCCTGGAGGAGGCCTGCACCGAGGGGGAGCAGCCCGGCGAGGAGCAGGAGGAGCTGGAGGAGGCCGCGTACCTGGCCGAGCTGCCCGAGGCGCTGCTCCTGCGCGTGCTGGCTGAGCTGCCCGCCGCGGAACTGGTGCAGGCCTGCCGCCTGGTGTGCCTGCGCTGGAAGGGGCTGGTGGACGGCGCCCCGCTGTGGTTGCTCAAGTGCCAGCAGGAGGGGCTGGTGCCGGAGGGCAGCGGTGAAGAGGAAGAGCGCGACCACTGGCAGCAGTTCTACTTTCTGAGCAAGCGGAGGCGCAACCTGCTACGCAACCCGTGCGGGGAAGGTGAGGCCAGGCCGGCCATGCTGGAGGAGGGCAGGGGAAGCCAGGGGCCGGAAGGGGCCATGCTGCGAGTCTACCGCTGTGCCTGGCCGCTTTCCCTGGTGTTCGTCCTCAGTGAGCCTGGGCGGAATGGCCCTGTGCACAACCGCCCAGGAGGAGAGGCCGGAAGTGGCCACCATTGCAGCCCACCGCCAGCTGCCCCACCCCCTAGGCGAGTGTGGTGACACACGCCTGTCATCCCAGCACCCTGGGAGGCTAAGTTGGAGCCCAGCCTGGGCAATTTAGCAAGACCTTGTCTCAAGATAAAAAATTAAAAGCGTTGGGGATACAGACCCGGGGAAGGCCCTGTGTTCAATCCCCAGCACCAGAAGGGAAAAAACAGCAAAAAAAAGTCTTGCTGCAGCCTCAGCAAGAACTGGGTGACCAGGGTGGGGCTGTCCCTGTCCCTACAGAGGACTTGGAGGGCTGGTGCGACGTGGAGCACGGTGGGGACGGCTGGAGGGTGGAGGAGCTGCCCGGGGACAGTGGGGTGGAATTCCCCCAGGATGACAGCGTCAAGAAGTACTTCGCCTCCTCTTTCGAGTAAGGAGGAGTAAAGAGCGTAGGGGAGGGAAGGGGGAG